CAATGGTCTTGACTAAAGTACTGCCAATAGTGGGTCCTATTCCCTTTAAGAAAAAAAATAACCGAAAGCAGTATCAGAATTTTCTCACTGAAACGTTGGAGCATGTCAGGCATTGCACAGGTGCAAACAATGCTGACGAGACTTACAAATCAAAAGAGTTCTTGTTCCGCCCATCCCCCTCAATGAAAATGTATCAGGCAATCGACAACTCCAAACAACATCATTCCATTTCATTTGACAAAATTGAATACAGACCCAACCGATGCCCGTAAATTACAATCATTTTTTTGCTTTTTTTCTTTTTTTACTGACGCAAATCAGAGTACTGTGTACCTTACCATATCAACCCTGACTGTTGAGGCATGTTTCCTAGGATGCAACATCAGTCCTACAAAATCCCCCTGACTGCCTCCATTTCAAAAAAGGATACACACTTGGTCCTCCAAAATCCTCCATTGCATCTCGGATGTGTTTCTTGGAGGGCTAACCGTTGCGTCAATCCATGGCGAGAGTGCGAATGATGTTCCAGAGCAGTTCGGATGATTTCAATATGGTCCTTAAATTCATGCAAGACTTCTGAAATCAGCCACACATTTCATCCTTGGTCCTTCGAGATCCTCTGCATATGTGAGGAGGATTTTAGAGTTCAGGTTTTATCTTCCAATGATGCAATGCAAACGCCGACCCTCTGGTGTGCTTCTGTAGCCATGTTCATTTGCAAAAGCAAGTCGCTAGAGCCGGTAACAGAGGGTGTCACATTTATAAATAGAGGCAGTGTTATCTACAGTGACTGTCACAATAAGGAGTTTATCTCTGAGAACAACCTATAATTGGTCATTGCAAAGTCACAACATAACTGCCCATGGGCACATGCCACCATCTTCCAGGTGAGCATTTCTCGACTGATAAACAGCAATATCGGGCAACAGTTCATCTGGAAACAGGCTGTAGTTGGTTCATTCCATGAGGTTGGGGCACAAGTTGTGACGGTGTCTCTGTTACATCCAAAACTTTTACCACCTGTCATGACCTGTAGAGTAGGTCATTTACTCTGTAAAAATAACACACACCTCTGTATTCAGCCTTGCAAGATGTATAACAATGTCAATTTGGAATCCACATGCAGGGAAATAGCTGTTCATTTTTACGGAACCCGTGTAGCAATTGACACCGTCACAAATTGTGCCCCAACCTCATGGAAATAACCCAGTTCCTACTCGCATCCATCGCTCGATTCCCGCAAAAGATGACCTCTCTCACACAGGTCCACAATACTGGCCAAACAGCAATAAAAAGTTCTTGAATAAAAAGTGTTGCGATGCACAATCATATAGAATAATTGCTTGCCTGAGACAAGGTGCATTTCTCCAGTCTCAACCGTGATGAAGACTGAACGTTTTCAAATCTACAACAGGCAATGCCTCAGGTGGAGCTGTTTACTTAATTTACAATCCTCCAACTTCCGCATCTTGTCTGGTCCCACTGTCTAATGCTCAGAGATAAAAAGAAGTTACGCGAAGTCACAATCACACAATCGCCACATTTCGCACGCACTGCACCATTAGTCATTTTCTACTTGAAGAAATTTTCCAGTTGTTGGCGGACCTCCAGGTCAATCGACTCCATCAGCTTGGTGAAAGTGGGTGTTCCATGGATGCGCTCAAACTCGGTGAACTGCAGTATGACAAAATCCCTCAGTGACGTACAGTGCACCGGGTCCTTCAACGACAGCTGCAGAGAGAGCAACACATTGAGGAAAAGTAAAATATGTTGCGGGTCCAGGCTAAAAGGCCACAAATTTCGCTCAGAAAGGGTCTCTCATTAGCTTATTACCATGTGATCCAAAATAAATCTCCACAGAAGAGGAAATTTACAACAGCAAAATATGCAAAATTCAACCCTTTATTTATGCGCAAGTAAAAGCGACACTTAAGTTTTCTCCATGCAATGACATCACAGGTTTGCTCATAAATGTGGAAATACTTAGTAACTTAACTTCGGAAAAGGCACCAAAGTGTCTTAACATAGAAAAGTAGTCATTGAAAGTCATTTGAAACACACAGGTTTATTTCCAAGACAGTTGTAAAAAAAATAATTCACACTGCATAGTGGGACCCAAACTTCATGACTTTATCCTAGATTTCCATAGCCTTTCGTTAAGGCATTTGTGGCTGTCTGTATTGGTAACTGCAAAGCGACTGGACTGGAGACCAGGCAAGTCAAACTCAAACTTCAAAGAAATTAGAGTACAGTATACAGAGAACCCCTGGGTAATTCTGTATGCAGACCCGGACATCTCTCAATACTCAAGTCAGATTTTTTTGCGGATGGAGTACGCTAATACTACCAGAATCATTTATCTGGATAAAAATCATCTTTACCCTGCAAATTTTCAGCCGCTCTGGAGCCACAGCGCTGTGGGTGGTTCTTTCCATCAGAACAAAACAGATAACGGTGACACCAAAACAAATTTTTTTTAAGGATTTGAACACTTTACGGATTGTTGCAGAAGAAGTTGCCTCGTCTCACTTACCCGTCTTTTCCTTTTGTCATTTTCCGTCTCGTATTCATCTTCCACGTCCTCTCTGTCTCCCATGACCAAGTAGCTGGTCAGCAAAAAAAGAAACAGAAATGTCCAGAATTGTTTTCAATTCTGTGGGTAGTCATTTCACAAACAAAGCCATCAAAATCATAAATGTGCTCCCTAACAACTGTCAAAACCTAGCCACCAAATATGTTTACATTCGGTCCGAATCTTGTAATCTGTTTCCAATTACCTACACCAAAAACATGCAGTGCGAACAGAAGGTTAACATCAATGGAAAAAATTTTAAAATCCCGTTGAAACTTTAAAATAAGAAGTCACAATATGAAAGTGATTTAGTCCACGTCACAATAAAACTAACGAGTGCGAAAACAATATAACAGCAAATTTAAAAAAAGAGGATATTTGACGATGTACATGGTGATATTAAAATTGGATACAATTTACTTACTCGACTTGAGATCCATTTTCTTCCCTACAGACATCATGGAGGACTTCCACCACCGCATACACAACATCCGGAAACTTCTCCGTAACAACCCTGACACCAACAAAAGGCCAGAGAAACTTTATGATACTTTTGTGGCGACAACTTAGGCTCTTGCCACTGGCACACTATGATGATAAGCCACAGCCATTAAGAAGGATGGAAGCTTCTTGGCCCTGGCCTGACACCAAAAAAGATGGCGGCTCAAAGAGATTCATGGGAAGTGTATCGCACATTTGTGCAAAAATATCTACAGGCAACTGACGATCAGGCTGCCATCTATATGCAAGGTTTGACGGCCAGTCTTGATGGTGTGAGATATTTACAGAGGCTCAAAAATACAAAGAAGGGCGTCTTGGATGCCCTTCTTTGTAATTAGCCCAAGAAAGAATATGCTGGAAAAACAAATCAAGATTAAGGTTTGAATGTCAAGTTTACAGAGCGGAAGATTTGCATGGAGGGTAGAACCCAACCCCGGCTGTGAGAAGTGAGTCACCTTGAGTTGGATGGTAGTAATGCCATGAGTGCCAGAGCGCTCAGCTTCCGTCGCTCAGCCTGAGTGATCCAGTCCATCTTCTCTGACCAGACAACGAGCAGTTTGCTAAAAATCTCATCAGGCTGAAAAAAGAGAGGATGAAAAGACAGGGAAACAAATGTGGCTTTTTTTTTATAAAAATTTGTTTATCCTTTAATAATTCTTCAAAATCCTTTAAAATCCAATTACGAGGTTATCAAGGATTTGGCAAGGATTGAGGAAGGTGCAAAGTACTTGACGTCCCTTAAGAGTTCAACAAAGAAACACTTCTGACTTTATGCCAAGGACTGATGAATTTTGGAGGGGTGATGTCTTGTCAACATTTAGCTCTACCTCCAGAAATATCAACAGGCCGTTCTCCAAAAATGCTAAAAGTTTGAAAATGGGTGCAGCACTTACTTGAATGAACACAGGGAAAAAAGTGCTCATTTGGAGGTGGATTACCAGTAGCCATAATAATAAAAATTACTTTCAATGAGCAAGTTCAGCATACCAAAAAGGCAAACTCAATCAAGAACAAAGCACGCATGTGAGTTGGCGAATGACCGCACTGATAGGGCAGACCTCGCTTGTGCATTGCTGTTCCCAAATGACCTTGGACATGCATCATTTTGGGTAGCCACGGCTGGAATACCGCACTGGCTGACTGGCACAAAAGTCTGCACATTACAAATCACAGACATCTCTACGTTCATGCCAAGTTCCAATGAAATCTCTCACTTCATGGCCTAGATCTGCTAGAGTTAAAACTTCCCCCCCCCCCCCAAACTTTGAAATTTGCCTCCAAAGGGAAAATGCTGTCGCCAAAAAGGATCAATGGAAGGTGCAATGTTCATCACTGTGACTGGGCACTCACCTGTTCATTAGTGGAGTGGCTGTATTGCTCGAGGAAGGAGAAGAAAAACGACTGGTTCTTGAGGATGATCCTGGCCACGACAGACAGGTACATGGACATCACTGTTGGGTACTCCTGCGAAAATGATGAGGCACACAGTATCTATCAGCTTCTGTCAGTCAAAGGTTATTCGTGATAATTATCGCTGCTAACTGCGTTCAGAACATTTGAATATTCCTGAGACCATCTCGGCCCCCTGGGGCCATACTTGAATGCCATTAGCACAGCTTGCCAGACACCCGCTCAAAAATTGTACGATGATCAAAAATGCCCCCAACGTACCTCTTTGTCCCTCTACAAACGGCACACGTACCTCTTTGTCCAGTATCCTCTGGAACACCTTGTGGAGCAGTTGCCGGAATATCTGTGGGCCTTCCACGGGGAAAATTTTGAATATCGTCTCCACCAGCTGAGAGTAGGAACACAGAAATTCATTGCAGTGATGTAAGCATAATCAAACAGAACATGTCAAAGGATGATAAAAATGGAAACAGTTATCTAACTTAAAATGCTGAGAAAAGTTATCTCGGGGTATGTAAGTACCGATGGGGTAAAACACTCATCACTGGCAAAATGAAAAACCTTTTAACAGAGACAAGGGTTTCATTCCGCGGTACCAAGTAAATTAATAATTTTCATTCCCTTTCACTCCTTTATTTCGATTTTTTTCGTTTTTTCTCTTTTTATTTCGCATGTTTTTCTGAGGGGGCAAGTCCCCTCCAATGCCCATGAGGACCCACAAGGCTTCTGAAAGGGGTGTGGAGGCAGCCTTCGCAAATTGTCAACCCAAATTAACCTTGAACTGAAAACCAGATCCTCAAAGTCATGAAGTTTTACATATTTTCCTGCACATTTGCATAGGTACACAGGGAACTTGAAATAGCCTACCGAGTGACCTAAGGACACCCATGCGACCCTTTGGCAGAAAAGTTGTCCCCCATCCCCTCCCCCCAGTAACGACATGCTAGCTACTTCATTCACCGACTCCATAATGAACACAAAGTGCTGAGGTTGGGCTACAAATGACATAAACTCAAGACAAAGTATTTTTCTGAGCTCTTTTGCAAATACATGGACAGCCACCGTGAGCCTTTTTGCCCAAATACGACCACTCGCCTTCCTGCTCACAAAAAAAGAAGTTCACAAGGGTGCCCTGTTTCCAAGCTTAACTAACAACTGCATCATGTTACTTGCTGGACTGACAAACAAAGATTCAATGCTGGGCTGTATCGCAAGACCAGTCACAAGTTCTTTCACGAGGCCTGTTGCAAACCCAATCACAAGCATCAGGACGAAAGCAGGGTATCGTCACAGGTCAATCGAATGGCTGGTGATAGACTTGTGACGGTCTTGCAGGGACTTGAGACAGACTTCACAACAACCCCCGACCGTGGTTTCTTTACCTTCATAACAATGACAATTGCCTCTGGTTTGACGTTGTCTAGAAGACTGACGCAGCCGGCAAACACAGCTCCTGAATAATTCTAAAGAAAAAAAAAAGTCCAATCATTGCTGTTGACACTTAAATGGGTTATCAGAGAATTGGAACAAGCCAGGGGCAGCCCATTAAACTCCATCAGTTGGTTCAGACATCTTTATTGCTACAGAGGTAAGTTTTCAACAGAGCAATGTATAAATTGGTAGTAGCTCTTGAAATCCAGCACTAAATGTTTTACCAACCGGCAGTGTAGTAGTCGAAACCATCGCAAGACCAGATACAAAACCAGTCACAAGACCAGCCATAAGACAAGACACAAGACCACCAAAGATTAACAGGGTGAACGGTTTATTTGAATAACATGACTTGACCTTGAACTGAAGGTCTTGTGTTGGTCTTGTGATGGTCTTAAGAGGTTCCACTACAACACTGCCTACTGATGTTTTGAAGGTAAAGTTTAGAAAATATAATGCATTTATTTTTGAGTGAGCAAATTCCTAGAGGTGCTGACTCACCTGCATAAACTCATTAGGTCCTAAAAGCACGTATGCTGTGATGATCTGGAAACATGTCTTGAGATTTTCCGATCCCAACTCTGCAGTAAATGAAAGATTCGAAAAACGTTTCGTTCAGCTTTATGTTTGTTGAGACACAAGTCCTACTTCAAGGAAATTCCCTCTTTAACAGTAAATGCTTAATACCCGTCTTTTGAACAGTATCTTCAGTTAAGAAATAGATCCAACATATTCAATTGCTAGAGGCTTTTTCTTTCAGACTTTGGCATTGTTCATGCTTAAATATGGAAAGGTCTAACAAAGAAACCACAGTGCAGCAAATTTGTCAGATTTTAAGACAACCACATTTCTGCACTACTAGGCTGAGAGCAGCAACCCTACCTAATAGCTCTGGCATGTTGCCAAACAACTGCAGGAGTTCTTTGGTCATTGCTGGGGCATTCTGGATGGTCTCATACCTGCAATGAAGAGAGAAAAGCAACATTTTTGCTTTTCTTTTAAAACAAACCAAGCAAGTTAAATTTACACTTAGTCCACACGAAATTGCTGCATCTCAACTCAACACCTGGCAAAAAAAACCTTTAAAAATCACATGGGACCTACATATTTTTGTTCCAAAACTGGTTCCCCAAAAAAGAAATCTTATAACACTGACTCCAAGCCAAAATTTCAGCTGTACTTTGGGTGTTTGCCACCGCTCACACTTGCTTCTACATTCGGACATTCTATTATCACACAGTGCTACTGTATTACAGTGTATTTTTTCTTAAGCACTTAAGCTTGGCATTGAAAAAACAAAGCATTTCAAACTACCAATGGCGACCCTCCGACCCACAGTTTGAGAAATCTTTTCTCATACTTCAAAAGAACATCTTCAGAATTGGATAATTGGTCAGAGTGCGCATTTGGAAACCTACCACAGATCGATACCATCGTCTAGGAGATAGACGTGTGGGGGGTGTGAGACGTCAGTGCTGAATTGGATGATGGGAAGGAGGAAGGGATAGAGCTGGACACTTAATGAACCGAGGCCCTGTCATGAGAGAGGATGATCGGTGTTAGGGGTCAAGTAAGTGCAAGTAAGATTCAACAACTCAAATCACAGTACACCAAACCTAAGCCACGATTTCTTTCATCATAAGAATCAACTACAAATGGGTTGTTCCACATACAAAAGGGTCCCAATTGTATGGCACCAGGGTCTGTTATGACAGAATGACTTAATAAACATTTCAATTCAAACAGTTATCTGTTGCTTGACTACTACATTTCCCACGTTCCATTATTCACTACATGGAGATATGCATCTGGACATAGAAAACTCTTGATCACTGAATTGCATGTCGTTCTTTAATGACTGATGCTAGAGGGGCATGAAATGTACCATGTTTCATAAATGCTGGGAAATTATTTTAATGCAAACCCTGTCCAAAATGAACTTGTGTGCGGTTTAAGGCTATGGCTGTACCTTTATATCGGCCGCCTCACTTCCCAAAGCCTTAGGCATAGCCTGAAATGTATAGGACTTGGTCTTCGTGAAATAAGGTGATGAATTACACGCAGAGGCTTTATGCATGGGTTGGCCATACTGACACTGAAACCGAGGTTAACTGTTTATTTTTAGAACTTGAGGGTAGAAATGAAAACAATAAAAATGAAATTTTTTCAGGGCAAATTGGTACTTCTATACTAATGTGAATGATTCCATATATGAGATTACACATACTTTGGTGTTTTAAGCCAGATTTTGAAAAATATTGAAAGAGAGGCCTAGAGTTCACACCAATCATAAAATAGTCTGATACCATCCATATCAACTGTTAAACAATCTGTAACACAGATTCCGGGAGCAAGATCAAAGGCTTCCTTGTGTTCTCACCTGAACGAGATGTACAAGTGTTGAGAGTATGGCGCACCTCAGCATGTTGTGCTCTGATGACTCCTCCCACAAAAGGGGCAGGTATTGGGCCAAGCTGGATGCATACGGTCTGATCTGTGAATCGGAACGTGGTGATAAATGAATACTTTGTACCATTCAGCACTTATTGCCAGTTTATGAGCCTTTCATGAACAGACCTGAGTGAATTTCAGTGATTCGGAAATAGGCCGGGTCATGTCACCATAAGACTCAAACCCAAACTTGACCTTGACAATTATAATGCAGATATGACTCGTTCTCATCATTCTCCAACCTCAATTTTATTTAAATACATCTGTCATTCTAAACTCATCTATTCATCAACCTCATGTCGGATAATATTCAACAGGCCATGTCAACTTGAGGTTAATGTGCTGCCTTATTTGATATCGCAAAGTCTTCCTAATAATAGTGCTGTTTTGGCTGGAACAACACATGTGTGCATAGGTGATGCAATCTGGTTACATCCATGGTATGTCACCGAACTTGTGTTGAAGATGATGGCAAGTGGCTGGTGACTGAGACGCAAACTCGACCTGAGTGACTTTACTGCAACTCTGTGATTAGGTACAATAAGCATCTCCCAAAAAGATGATCCTATCTTTAACTCACCCTAATACCCAATCTTTCCCCTGGTTTGGCACAAAAGGCCCTGCAATTGGTTATTTCACTTCAACAATCACAAACCGAAAAGCGTATTCGGCAACACACAAAGCACCTTCTCCTTGAGATCACCAAGTTTACACATTCACATTTCTATCACATCATCCTAAGAGACAGGTGAAAGGTCAGAGTGCAACTCAAATATGTCATGTCCGCAACTTCAACAAATACACTTTGTGTAAAAATTTGCAATGAAAAAAATGTAATGACAAACAGACATGAAAATATGCCTACCTGGGCTTCAACTCTCTCAATAATAAACGACAATACATGCAGTATGTGCATCTGAAAGGAAGCAAATAAAAATGGAAAGGAGTGAGGCATTGGTCACTCCTCCAACGAACACATTCAAGTAATTATTAATGGAGTACTTTTGGATGAGTGAAGCTGTATCCAATTTCCACCTGGATGCAGTTGGAGGATTTTGAAGGACTGAGGATGCATTCTCAAAAAAAAAAGGCCTGGAGGTCAGGGTTTGAAGGCTGATGGACATTTTCAACCAACCTTTGTGTCGCACTCAGACACCTGCTTCAGTAGTTGGAAGAGAAGAGCGAAGCTGGACTCCAAATACTGCAACAGCAAAACAGACAAATACCGATATCGCAAATAAAATAGTGTGGACCATATTGGTTGGTACAACTGGGTCCGAGGGAGGACAGAGTTTTATTTCATTGTTTGACAGGTAGATTGTTTAAGTAGAGGACGCTGTCAGTGCAGTGCTTAATAATGACAGCTGAGCTAAATCTTGGGTCTAGATCTAGGTCTTTGCCAGTTGCATGTACAAGGGCACACACTGGCGAAAAATGCACCCACAGTTCGGAAAATCAATTTCGGAAATGGTCACAGAGCATGTCTAATGCAATTTGAAACAAATGCAATGACGCATTTTCTAAGGAATAAACTCAAGCCCAAGAAACTGAACACCAAGGAAACTTACTGGGAGGAAGTTGTCCTTCTTGAACTCAAAATCGTCAACAGGTGCAGGGCATTAAGGAAAAACATTGATCGCAAAGTGACTAATAAAGTTAATGCCTCTTTCTGATGACAAAGTAAGTTAGCACAGATGAAATAGAACACAGGGGTTAAAAATTTGTGGAAAAATGTACAGAAAAGTCTAATTAATTTGTATATCACTGCAACAGTTAGGGGCCATTTCTAATTATCATCTGTTTCAACTTTTGTTGGTCATTTCCAATGTGAGGAGAGGGGTCAAGGAAATAACGAATATGACAAATTTGCTTATTTTAAAGTAAAAAATGCAGGTGGTTGAGGTAAAATAAATTGGGGAAGAATGAAATCAGAAAACATTGATTGATTGTTTTGAGCAGTCCATAAATCTTGTTCCCATTCTTACTATCATGCCAAAGTTCATTTTTTGTTTTGCAAGGATATCGATCTTGAGCGTCTGAGCGGCAGTTATCCTGACCACTAGGTCTTCATCCTCAGCCAGAAGGGGTAATACAGCCTGGTACACAGTAGGGTGCAGACTGGGTGCTAGCTTGACCCCCAGCCACTGACCTATTAGCCAGATGACTCGCCGCCTGATTATCTTGTATCTGTCAAGATCAGAATATCGTAAAGCGTTAGGGCTGTGGCGAATACCCCAGGCTGATGTATGATATGGTAACGTTCCCAACGTTCATTTCACTACTGGTCTATTTCTAGCTTGCAGAAATTTTAGGCAAAGTGGAACTTTAAGCAAAGTGTCTCTGAAAGTTTCAAGTGAAAACTGATACCTCGGATGTTTATCACTGAGTTCTCTCAGGAGGTGGTTGGTGAACCACTGATCAAAGTCGACCTCATCAAACAGCTCAAATGCAGCCAGTCCCATAGCATTGTACACTACAATCAAAACAACGCACCAGGCATTATAAAAACTCAGTGTGAATCTGAATGAGATATACAGTTTGTTATTGTTAGAGATTGCAGACGCAATACTTTCCACAAGAACTCACCAATAAATTTTAAAAGCAAAGTGAGTCAAACAAAATCAGGTTTCTAAATGTAATAAAGTGACAAAAGAACAGCAATATGCACATTTTTGTATGAGCAATCAAGTTCAAGTCGAAATGCAGTGACGTTTTAGCAGTGAAAGTCTCGCCAAGATCTTCTCGAGACCGTGTCAAGATCACTTGTCTATTAAACTATTAACATTAAATTTCACATCAAAATGCTCAATTTGGAGATGAAAATCTCACTGACACCATTATGAGACGTCGTCAAGACTATTTCAAGATCACTTTTCAACTCAAACTGTACATATCTACAAAAACTGTACTTCAAGACTAGTAGTTCTCAAATCTTCCAAATTTCTAGTGATTTTTTTCACATTCTCTGGGGAGTTATGGTTAAGATATAACCATTCAAACTGTTTTCCGTGCTCAAAGTAATACACACTGGACTTTATCAAATCAAGCAATGAATAAATGTTTGCAAAAGGTCTCCGAAATGGTCTCGGCAAAGTCACTAAAATACAGAGGAATTTGACGTTCGTCTCATCCTTTGTAACTTGTTCTACTACCTGCTTCCTTCTGCAACATCATATCCATGTTGGTTGGCTCCACAATTCCTGGAACGTCAGTGGATAAACAAGTTCAGAAACGCTTAAGTGCAAGTCATCTTTAAATTGCAATTGCTGCACGGCGAAATACATTATCAGTCTACAACTTCCATGCATGAGGGAGGTAAATACACGTAGAGTAGGGTCATACAAATTATGTTTAATTGCCATACCTCATACATATTCATGACTGAGAACAAAGTTCTCATTGGTCCACTCACAGGAACCATTTTTGCTCTTTACCCAACAAGCATGAAAGGATCAACGCAGAAGTCGGATATGAAAGCATGCGCTTTATGAAGCCATCACAGAAATGTCACCTGAGTGAAGTATCCACGCGCAAGGATCACCTGAGCTGTATAAGAAAATGTGGCGGCCGCATGCATGTTGATCAGCATTTCAAATCATGCCTGAAAGTGATGGCGACTAAATATGAATGAGGTAGGGTTAAATAAATATGATTTGGTTTATTTTGGGCGGAGAGTCAATGTTATTTCTGCGTTTTATCGATCAATCACCATCACCCACATGAAAGCAGAGCATTCTGAGTAAGGATCCGGGGAACTATCACATCCCTGGTTATCAGTAGCCTTTTGAATTCTTAAGTGGAGAGGGAACCACTGACACAGAAATAACTGCACGAGATGGGAGAGACCTTGAACCACGATACAGCGGCAAACTATGAGTGATGACAAGCTTTTGCCAAGACTGTAATGAGAGCATATTTACAAGAAGAATTTGATCGACGGTCGGACTGTAGCTAGCACTCAAATTTGCCCTACATTTGTAAAGAAATATTTTATAAGTGGAACAGTGTAATTCTACGTCACAACATTCGAGGCAAGGCTGTTTTCAAGGTTTCTTTCCTCCTTTTACCTTGAACGCTTTGCACCATCTGCAGCAACACGGTCGTGAAGACTTCCCGGTAAGCATGGAACAATGCCAAGAACAAGACCTCCGTGCACGGCTAAAAAGGGAACGGACAAAATGGTAAGCTACATATAAATGACACAAATGGACATTCCGCCAGAAATAAAATACCCGTGACAAATACTGCCAAGTCATGACAATCACAGAGAAAGACATTTGAAGTGATGCTTCACATTCAACACGCCTTTGATCTGATAGATTATCCCAAATTAATCGTCGTTTTGTACAAAAAGAATTGCCCATTCCAGAGTTATATTTTACATTCAACTCACCCTCAAAGTGAATTTCCAGGACTCCCCTCCTTCATCAATGGTGAAGCCCTCAGGATCATTTTCCCACATTTCTAAATCCTGGAAAGAAATATGGCAAAGAATGATAAAAGGGAGCACATTTTAAAACACAGTTTTAATGTTAAAAACCAAGTCAGATAGACTCAATAAAAAATGAAACACCCTCATATTTCTGAACGATTTCCTTCCTTTTAACGACAAGAATACTCAACTGCAACATATATCAACAGACACAAAGACAACAGAAATTTCTGCTGAAGATATAATTTCTTAACAGGGTATGTTCAAGAAGTCTGCTGCCTGACATGTAATAAACAAATCTAATACAGCCTCTACCATGATCACAGGAAACCAGACCAAGATGGCCCCCCCATACGGACTTACCTCCTGTGTTAATAGGAAATACTGTGCAAGCAGCCTGTGGCACATCTCCCGTAGTGTGCTTTCAGTAAAGAACTCATTCTTTGCCTGAGCCCAAAACAGGAAATTATACAAATACAGTACTAAATCGATAAAAACTTTATATGATTGGGTTAGAAGTGGTCACATCCCAAAATATAAATAAATGGAGAGTCTCTTTTTCAAGCAGTTCCAAGAGTCTTTGTCTTCCAGAAAGTAAACTTTGCACATATGAATTATGTATACCTATTGATGAACTGTAAAATATTACTCTTAAAATAAAAATTTAATTCATATAGAAAAGAGTACCTCTTAAAACAATACAGAAGTACGTCATTTGCCAAATTTATATTCCAAATTTAATTTAATTTGTAACGGTGATGTTTGCAACAAAGACATTTTAGGTCTAAGGACTTGCGTTATGCATTATTCATGCAAACTCCGACCTTGTGGGCATCGATGGTTCCCTGCTCCTTGGTCTCTTCGATGACCTTTGACGTGCGGCAGTAGTCGCACTTGACGATGCTCTTGATGAGGTTCATGTTCAGGACGATGAAGCGCTCAAAGAGCAGGCCCTTGCCGGCCTCAGCAAAGACATAGGAGACACTCAGCTCCAAGGATCGCCGGATGAAGGCGACGTAAGACAGAGGAAAGGTGTCCTGGGTGTCGAGCAGCTGAAGAAACAGAGATTGGCACCACCCGAATGATGAATGATTTGGACCATCCACCTGACCTCTGGTCACAGCACTGGTCATCAATAGCTGATTTCATTCATTAGTACAGAAGACACCATTCACACGGCATGTATTATTGTACGAGATGCCTTTGACCATGTTCGCCTCAAGAGTTACGGCCAATGGCAAACTGTAAGCACTGTCGAGATTTTGACAAGATTTTGCAAAAATCTCTTCCAAGATGCCTTTGACCATGTACGCCTCAAGAGTTACAGCCAATGGCAAAATGTAAGCACTGACGAGATTTTGACAAGATTTTGCAAAAATCTCTTCTTGTTCAGTGACAGGGATACTTCAAGTCCGTCGGGCAACTCTGGTGCTGATGAATACAGTCTTTTTTTGTATCTTCTTTACATATGATTAGTGAACAATTAATTCACTAATCATCAGTTTCATCCAATGAAGGCTTCTCGAACACATTTTCATAACTTTCTACTTTATTAATAGGCTCTTAAATGCAGGTAAACTACTGGATATCTATTTTTGGTTAATTAATGGTATTGAAAATTGCATTTCATTAAACATTAAAAACTTGCCAGACTTTCGCAGACAACAAAAGTGGTACCCACTGATTGCCAGTGAAGAGAGATTAAATTCACCTGGAGTCAGAACAGGGAAATGCCTAATCTCGTCACCGCAGCAGTTTCGCTGCACTCTTGACAAGTTTTGGAATAAACTCACCGTTTTCATCAACAGCAGGACTTTCTTTTCCAATTTTTCCCTCAGGTGTTCCTCGGACGGGGTCTTTCCTCCTGGGAAGAGGCATCAACACAGAATGCTACAAACTCCATGTATCACGATTACGTCTAATGCCCTTAGCCAGTTAGGGCCCGGCGGACAAGCGAGTTCAATGGCCACGGGTGCCTAAGTCACTATATCCAGCAAGAAGTGCGACCAAGAGGTCCCCCCCAGCATGTCCAATCGCTATACACTCTAGCCTATTGTTACCTAACACATCCCCCAAGATGTCTGAAAAGAATTCCTAAGATTCCAGTGAGACAATGACCAACACAAAGAAGGGGGGTTCTCTCCATCTCATATCTTGCTTCATATGCGAGTCACTGCCAACGGCGTGCATATGCAATAATCCACGTTTTGTTTTGTTCACACACACGGAATTTGAGAAGTCTGTGACGGCAGACTGTGTGTTGAAATTCAACTTGGCCGCTGCGTATGGCCTGTCGTGGCAACAAATTAGCTCCATAGGCACAACCCCCAAAAAAATGTTGAAAGAAATAAGAGGTCTACGTAAGAAATATCATACAAATACCATTCCAATGACGTTATCAAGTCAATCTTTGTGGCGTACAGCCATACCTCAAAAGTTTGCCTCGGTATCTTCCCTCTTTCAAAAGTCACAAATTTCAGCCAAAAGAACACTGTACACAAGAGGTTAATAAGCAAGGCCCTCAAGACATCCCATCGCATCGGCGCCGATGTACAGTTCATGTTGCCTTCCTATTCGTAGTCTGAGTAGATTTGTTTGCAGTAGGAAAAATGTGCATGAGTGTGGCTACAAAAAATCTGTTGTCACAGTCACAAAACTTAAACTTTGAAGAGCACAATTCCACTCACTTATTTCCAAAACCGGTCTAATTCTCTGAAACACCAGCTGCAACAGCATCTGTTGTATAAAAAAAAACTGAGGTTATAAAAGGAGAAATATTTCAAAAGATAATCTGCTTTTTAAAAGCAGGCTTCCAAAATCTGTCCAGGGAAAAAAACATAATGTATACTTAAGTAAGATTTGAAGCTTTGCATGGTGGATGAAACATGAGAAATGGGTTTGCCGGTACACCAAGAAATCAATCTCTGGATGTCCTGAGGAGAGTGAGGACGGCCACACTCTCCTGAGGACAACCAGAGCATATTGGCCGAAACATCAAGTTTACACTCACCGGTTCTTTTAAGAGCCACACCTTCTCCAAAAGAGATTGACTCCATGGTGTACCCGCAAACCCATTTCTCATAATGTATACTTCCACTGTTTTGATGTTAACTTTGTAAATACACTGGCCATTTTTTGGAAATTTTCAGCGGCTGTGGGGATTGGTTTAAGAGGAGACCCAATAATGCGAATTGCTTTTACATACCACTGCGTCAGGGTTTTTGTCCGGTTCGAGTATGCCATATATCAGCTGTTTACGTAGAACTGTCGAGTAAACAGACAAAAAAAAACCAGTACACATTAAGGGTTTGAAAATTCACATCATAGAGCATGAAACGACAGCGTAACATGTCAGCCCTCATCCAGAGTTGACAAGACGTCCCAGCATTGCAAGATGTCCTAGCGTTATTTGTGGGCTGGGTTTTTTCAAAGGGGGGGGGCAGAAGGTGCCCCTCCCCCTAGATCTCGGCTGTCCTATGCCCTTATCTCTTTGAAACTCGGCGTGCCCTTCAAGACATTCACTGCGATATTATGTTTCAATTTAATTGGGCACAGGTTTTCCCCGTTGGTTCGTGCTCTCTAGAATGATGCATGCGTATACACGTGAAAAGCTGATCATTGGAAATAATCATTCTCGACCAGCATGTGTCGGATAAAACATGGACGCTGCAAGAACAACAGGTCCAAGTTTAATAAAAATCAGTGCCAATATTAACCTTGAGATATTTATGCTGGAAAACTCTTCAAGGCACAGCACCAAAAAAAAATGTACTGCGATGAAATCTGAGCAAATGACGAGTGGCAGATTATGTGATCAATCATAAAGCAAGGTATAGCTTAGAATGAAAAGTGGATAACAAACAAATTCAAAGAAATAAGTAAAAACAAAGGCACAATAATGACCGATCTTCAGCAAGAATTGTAGATCTGCTGGCCATGGGCAGCGATTTCAAACTGACCTTTGAGAGCCAGGGTGCTGAGTTCCAGCAGGACAGTCATGTTGTGGCGGTCGTCCAGTCCGGCATGGTGCAAGAACGCCTCCAAGTGGTTGTTCCACAGCTCCAGCAGGTAGCCAAACGTGCTGGCCGTCAGCTGTGCAGACATGATAAACTATCAACATTACATACATGTACATCAAGGAAACAAACACAGGTCACTGGGCCCTGACTACCTCGACATGTTTGATCGGGACCATTTCTGGGGCGTGTTTTTTACTTTCGCAAACCCATGACCAGAAATATGTTTGTGACAACAAAGTGACAAGCAAAGCCTCCTGGCTACAAATGCTGTAAGTATCTTTACAGAGTTCATGGTCTTCAGTAGAGTCCATCACAAGTCCCGGCAAGCCCTTTGCCAGTCTATCACAAACCACCGCGTCACACATGAAGTCACAAGCTATTTGAATGAACTATGACAAATGCAGTCCTTCATCAGTGTTCATCCTGTCACTTGTGACTGGTCTTGTGAAGAGCTGCAAACAGGACTTAGGGAAACACTTGTTGCGGACCTGACTACTGAACTGTCCACACATTGCCAAGTGCATCTCTTGCAAGTATCACTTGCCATGCCAGTGAGTCAAGCCGATTTCAAGCAGTCCTCATGGACTACTTGGCGATCAGTCCCTATCTTAATGCACACCCCCCACGTTCCAGACATGCCCCACCTCTTGGAAGAGCTTCCTGTCCGGGCCTAGCCTCTTGCTGGCTAAGGTTTTGACCACATGGTGGTAGGTCAACAGTGCCCTCTGCTGCTCCAGGTGCTCCGGACGGCGGATGGCGGCCAGAAGCGTGGGGATGAGCTCCGGCCAGTGGCGGGGGCAGTCGGTGCGGGCCACCCGGCTGATCAGCACAGCCAACTGGGTGGCTATGGGGCCAACGGGCTCCTGGAAGTCCACGATGAGATGCGCCCGGATCTTGGATTTCTCTGTCTCCGAGAGTGCACTGAAAAATAAAAATTGTTAATATAATAAAAAAAACAAAAAGCAAATACTTGTACAAGTAGCAAAGTGGTGAAAAAACCTTTGCAAGGATTATTCAGTTTATGATTAATCAGAGTGTTTATCTAATCAATATAATCACAAAAGCTTTCAAGAAAATGAAGGCTTGTTTTGAAAAGCTGGTTTTTTGAGGTGAAAACAACAGCTGTCAGAGAGAAAATCAAAACATGCAGGAAATCTTTTTCAAAAAAAGTTGAGACCAACAGTCAAGCACAAAGACAGACTTGCTAAATTGGAAAAATACACGATGAAGTGAGGAAGCTTTAGCTAACGTATACGTCATTTTTACGATCCCAAACAAAGCGATGTTTGTGTTTTATTGTTGAATGCAACCTTAAATGTGAAATATTTAGATTTCCAATTGAACAAAGGTGAATGATCCATTGGGTGAAAAAAATTATTGAAAAACTTGCGAGCTAAAGAGCTTCATATGTTGATGAGTGTTCATGTAGGGGTTTAGAAAACTTGTAGAACACTTTCCGACCTACTTTGAGAGACTAGAAGGCATCCCATGTGCCTTCCGGAATTCTTATTTTGATATCAACGTTCTTTCACTCTTTGCCTCAATCATCATAAGTTAGGGCTACAAAAACAAGAAAAGACTCCCTTCCCCTCCTGCTTCTGTAAATGATCAAGTCAATATGTGGAGGTCGGCCATGGATCTGATGCATGTGCAGTGTGTATGAACACAAAGATTACACTGTGGTTATCAATGTGTCAAAAATGAAATGCTGGTGAATAAAGATCCTATTTTTCAAAAAAAAGTTGACCCAATATGCGAAAAACTAGAGTTTTAAAAAGTTAAAGAGATATGGATAGGCCACGGCTATGTTATGGTGAAGATTTGTTTTAGCAAGTGGAATTCTAGAACTGTGCAAGTTATATGTATCTGAAACCCAAAGCTAAATTCCAAGTCTCACAACGTTACAGCCTCTCAAAAGTGAGCATGCTAAAAGGCACACAGGGATGGGGTGCCTTCTTGGTTTCTGGACGTAACTGTATCTCCAACCGTGACTTACTTGGGTGCAGTTTTCCGCCAGTAGCGCTCGATGCCATTCTTGAAGTACACCACTGCCAGCCAGCGGACATTATCGGCCAGGCTGCGGTTGGAGAAGATGGCCTGCAAGACAGAGTAGAACCCTGCCTGGTTCTCCCAGGCCTTCAGTTGCTGCTCAGCCGGCTTCAGGACGGCCGTGTCCTGGCTGGTGGCGCGGGCCAGCGTGTCCAGCACGGTGGCGACCACCGTGGAGTCCATGGCCGTGCGGGCTAGCTACTGACCGTTCTGGAAGCTCAAGGGTGACTAGGGCTGTCTCCAAGTCCTAGCCTATTGAGGGCCACACTTGCCAATGTTTAAGTTCTGAAGAATGGTCTGCAAGTCACAAAAGGGTGAATTACGAAAGAGTTCCACATCAAACTTTTTCAGACAAGCCTCATAGGGTTTGTGCACAGGGTGTCAAGTCATGTCCCTATATGGAAAATCTTTCCTGAGAAATGGGTTTGTGGGTACACCATGGAGTCAATCTCTTTTGCACGAGGTGTGGTTCTTAAAAGAACCAGTGAGTATAAACTCGACGTTTCATCCACCATGCAAAGCTTCAAATCTGAACATCTTTCCCCAAACACAGCTGATCCGTCATGTCCATATCCATACTAGGCCTAGGCCTTATTGCTGATACCGCAAGGTAGCCCCACTAATGTGGCACTGACTCTCACTCCCGATCCATCCTTAGCCACACATCTGTATGCGCAATTTCGTGTCGGCGTACTGAACATTTTCGGCACACCCACTTATCATCGTGGGCGCAATTTCTTTTGCACACGAGCATGATCCTTGACCTTTCCATTTTCCAAAAACCATTTACTGAATGATTTCACTCACGTTATTCAGGTATTTTCCAGTCTTTTTGCCTTTATCTTTATACCTTTATCAATCTAATAGGGCTCACTCTCTCGGTCGCCATCTTTAAAATAAGATAATTGAACAAACGTCACTTGACCCCTCATCGTCTCGACGGCTGTTCCATGTCAAATCATATGTAATAAAAGGACTGCGCAATAAGATACTACATGTACCAATGGGCTCTTCCAAAACTTTGGCAGCAGTTTAGATGTCTTGACATGGAAGAGCCGTCGAGACGATGAGGGGTCAAGTGACGTAATGTTCAACGACCTTATTTTAAAGATGGCGACTGTGAGAGTGAGCCCGTTAGATTGAAAGGATAAAGGCAAAAAGACTGGAAAATACCTGAATAACGTGAGTGAAATCATTCAATAAATAGTTTTTAGAAAGCGACAGGTCAAGAATCATTGATGATAAGTAGGGTGCGCCGAAAATGTTTGGTACTCCAACACAAAATTGCGTATACAGATGTGTGGCTAAGTATGGATCGGGAGTGAGAGTCCGTGCCACACTAGTGGGGCTAGGATTGGGAGTGAGAGTCCGTGCCACACTAGTGGGGCTAACCGAAAGGGTGATTTTGCACAATGGTCGATGGTACAAAGGCATTGTGGGAAAGAAAAGGGGGGTAATGTTTGCTCCTTTTGCCTTCCCACAATGCCTTTCTACCATTGTGTAAAGATACTCATGCAGTATGAGCAGCAAGGCTTAGTTATATCGGGACCGCTATATCCACACGCAGCACAATGCAGTAGGCCTAACTGCCTAGGCCTACGCGGTCCCGCCTACGCGCACGCAAGCGACCATGGCGACTGAGCGAGGCCGCCTACGATTTCCCATCACTTTCCCCACAAAACACATTGAGTCTGTTTACTATGTAGATGTTTCAGATAAGGTATACATTAGCTATATAATGAAAGGTTTGGGCCTATAGATCGTTCGCACTGAGCCCAATTTTTTCAAAGTTATTCCTAAATTTTACCTTCTTGTTCGTTACAACTCATGCATGGTAGTCGCCATTTTTCGAAATAGCGCCCTCTATTGTCATCATTCGAACAGTCTTGATCTGAAATGGTGGCGCCCTTTCATTTGCTTGTCAACACCCGCGGACAAACGATTTTCTGAGCTGAGTGGACTGGAAATTGCGAGTTTGGTTTCTTTTTACTCACAAAGTACAGTCGAACTTCAAGCCATGGCAGCACAGGACCCACGCATTCGCAATATTAAAATCAAAACCGGAGTCTTGAAACGGTAAATAGCTGAATTTGGATATCAAGGGCAAAATGTGTTCCGTGTGTTTAGCGGCCTAATAATGTAACGTTTAATAATAGCGGTTAGGCCAAAACAATTTGTATGCTACACTACAGGCCTAGACCTACATGACACTTTTTACGAGCTGACGAGTACTGTGTGCTTTAAGTGCAGTTTGAGCCCACTCTACCATGTCTACTTGTGCAAATATTTACTCCCTAAGATATCATAGGGCCTTTCTTGATATACGGTAAGCATGCATCAACAGGGTGGATTTGTTTACCTTATTTTATGTTATGTTGTACGCTTATTACAATTTTTTTATGATGAAATTTTCGAAAATTTCGCTTGCCCACACCAGTCACCATCATGACCATGTGTTGAGCACAACTGGTCAATCGCTTCAGCGTGACCTGTCAGTATTTGAGCCACCATTAGCTGATCAATCATTCTCATTTATTATTTCATGTTTCACCTGTCAAGCTTCACCTCCGTACGCGGCCCCCTAGAAGTAGACCTGTGTGGTTCCTTACTCCGCTTGTGGAACGTGGAGTGCAGCTCCAAACCATAGATCCAGATGTAGGCCTAGTCATAGTGTTTTTGGTCTCAATAATTCTGAGTGTTTTCTCACTAAATGCTTCAATATTTTCCACGCTAACCAAGGGTCTGTTATCACTTTCTGATGGCTGATACAACTTTAGGGGAAAATTAATGGTGTCAGAATATGAGAATCTTTCCCTTTTTAGTTTTAACCTCTTCGTGCCGGGGCATTTTTCAACGTTGATGATGCTGGGCCGGCATGACTATCATTTCTTCCATTTTCAAAAACCTTCAAAAATTCATCATTCCAATTAACAGTCGTTTATAGCCGCGAAAAGTAATCTTTAGGCACTACTCTAAGTTGACAGGTGACCTTCATTGATGCCCGAGTATTTCAGCCAGGCCTGCAGCCTTGTAAGCAGAGCCCAGATTGTACGGTGTTATACAACTGTCTTTTGTTCACGAACCTGGCTCAGTGCACTGCTGACCTCTTTTCAATAGGGGCCAGACTAGCGTGCAGCAGTGCTGTGTGGGTCATCGCTGCGGTGGTGGAGCACTTTAGTCCCCGGTGGTAATCCGCTTGCTCTAAATACCCCAAACCCTGGTATACGGTTTCAAAATAACGCTGGATTATCGCCACTTTTGAGAGTGAAAAATGCCGATCATGCCCAGCAGCCTGGTCTTTTGTTCTGAGTACGGTCTTTTGTTACAGGGCCCTGTTTCCTTTGTCCAAGTTCGGAGACCCCGGCCACCCATATAAACCATACGGCTCCGATTTGGTAGTGGTTACAGGTGACTTTTCTTCACCATCTTCCTCCTGAGAGTGAAGCCAATTGATTTCAGTTGGAAGCCTAAGATTAGACTGATACTAGTCTGCCATTCAATAGTCACTCAGGTGCCACAGTGGAGAGAAAGTCACTCCGTTTCTCCCATGGCAATGCCCTTGCCCTTTTCCTTTTTTTTCCTGGCAGACTGGTAAAGGAGAAGGCAATGTACGAGAAGGAGGTGGCGGACCAGATGACGAAGGTTGAGCAGATGAAAGCAGGGAACCAAGACGAGTACAACATCAAGAAACAGGTGAGCTGAAGACCCTGCAGCAGAAAAGTTGCAGCGCGGACGACCATTTGGCGACCACAGGTCAATTTTTCCCCCGGTACCCAGAATATATTCTGTGCACAGGTTATCAGGGAAATATCGACCAGTGGTTGACAGTTCGTTGTCACTCGAATTTGCCAGTGTTGTAGTTGGGGGAGCATGAGGGGTGCACGATCCTACAAAGTCATCGTCTCTCCTACCCCCCCCCTCCCCATCATACGCCACCAGAAATTTTGAAAAGCATAGAAGGTCAGAAGATTTGTTAAGTAAAGCAGAAAGTAAGTCCCCCTCATTATTACATCCAGGCCCCGCCCCTTACTGCTCCCCATATGTCTTGGACGTACCATGACAATGTGCGCGTCCTTATCATGAAGCGAATTACAGTTAACATCATGAAGCATTCACAATACATGTACAAGGAAAGTAGCCGCCCAGTTGAAATATGTCCAGCCTCCTCGCAAATGTGCAACCCTGGGAAAAATTAGCCCCGACTTCAAACTCCATTGAGAGGCCTTGTCCTATCCGTAGAAGCGCACTCCACAAAACTGTGCGAAGGGTACTGAATTCACCGTTTCTGTGTTGATCGTTGCCTGTCCTTTGCAGCAAGAAGTCTTGGAGGAGTCAAAGATGATGATCCCCGACTGCACCAGGAGGATAAAGTCGGCATTCTCAGAGTTGAAAAATTTGCTGGTAAGACCGCACCAGCCTGTCGGCTGAATGAGCCAATTGGTATTCCAATGGCACTTGCCTGATATAAGCATGTTTGGTAGGTGACAAAAGAGCCCTCTCTCTAGCACTCACGTAGCAATGAGAGGGCAAAAAAAAGGAAAAATAAAAAGAGAAACAAAACCGAGTGGGGGGTGAGAAAATGTGATGAAAATCCCCAATTTGCTCAAAAATACCTCGAAATCATCCCCCACAGCATTGGAGGGGTTGTCAGCCTGTCGCTCATGCAGTAAGATTTTAAACGGCTTATGAAAATGTCCTCTTTTTTTTTGGCCTTCACCAGGAGACCACAGAGGAACTCCAAGAAGAGGAGGATTACAAGAAAGCGTCTGCACTAGTAGACGAAGTTAGCCCCAACATCTCGATGTAGGCCCACGGCATGCTGCCGTCCTTGCGCGTCCTTGCTCTAAATATTTGACCAAACCGTTTTGTATTTATATGTGTGTGTGTGTTTGATTGTCGAACAGAGTGATTTTTATTACAGGGACAAAAACTGTTCGATGAGGGAAGCATTTTAAAGCGGCCTTTTTTGTTTTTGGTTCCATCGGCAGTGATGTAGAGAAAACTGCAGTTTCACGATTTGGCTCTGTGTAGTTGGCAGACATTTTTATCAAGGAAAACTCGAGTGGGGGTTTTCTTTTATACAGATGCAGACTGTTGCTGAATCTTCTTGTCATGATTTTCCGGTTTTTTTTTTGTTTGGTAATATTTTTCACATTTGCAGCTACTGTTTTGAAATGCAAAGTGTATTTTGTTTTGAAAGAAATGAATTTATATTCGAAAGATACAAATACATGTATCCTAGTTCGAGCCTGAATGTTACAGCAACTAGGAATGCTTTAATTTAAAAGTGCAGTTTTGACCATGTAGAATTCTGTCACAATATTCCGCTGTACGATTAGTGTCCCGACGTATTTGTAATCATTTGATGCTAAATTTCATTTGGAATATACATGTACCCGACTGTTTTAGTGTGTATTACTTCAAAAAATATTCTTCCCACAGTACACTTCAAACAAATTCCATCAAACATCAATGTCGTCACGGGCTGCTCGTATCTCGGTAGCATTTATTTCTTCGCTGAAAAGTCGCCCAAAATCGACGAAGGCTCATAATGACAGGGAAGCAGTGAAGTAACTTCCTCACTCTGGCTTTCTAATGCGAGGGCTGATTTTTTTTTTTTTAAATGAGACGAAAAATTCAGCGTGCTCGTGTTGGCTGGTAGAGGCTGCTAGAAGTCCCACTGAAGAACCGAAAGGGCGCCCTCTTTTTGAAATCGACACGGCGGTGGATTACGAGTGAAGGCCTTCGGTCGCAGCCGTCTTCGTACAGAGGGCGCTCTTTGGGGGCTTATATTTGTAGATGTTAGACGTGATTTCTTAGAGCTGTCGTTGGGTAAACTTTGTTTAAATAACAAGGGCCATAACCAGTCGTCCCGTTTTGCGCAAGGTGTAACGATGGAGGCAGCAAACTACCCACTATGCTTTGCTTCCAGGAAGAACAGAGAGAAACTTGAGTCCACACTGGTGACTGTAAAGTGGGAGCGAGCGTCCGTGTGTAATGTGTCTGCATAGATAATGGCATTGAAGCTACCCCACAGCACCCATCGAGGGTGTCCTTAACGCCACATCCCGGTATGGTCGGTTGCCCATCGCCCTTGGATTTGGCGTGTTGTGCGGTCAAAGAGCTGGCCGTGGTATCGCTGACGTAGCTCGACTGCGTGCTAAGATGATGGCTTGTTTATGATCGCGCAGTTTATCTGTGCCTGCCTTAATGCATCTACTCTCTGTGTTATTTTGAATTGTGCAAGTGTATTTTTAAGTCCTTTCCAAAATCGAATGCTGAACTGTGAAATCGTCTGTGCATGTGCGATTATACGATTGCTGTGGGTAATAAACTACTTCGGAATCAGGGCGAGTGTGATCGAGTCCCTTATGCCGATGACATGACATAATCGTAAAAGAAGACTGCAGTGGTATAAAACGACACGTGTCACGTGGTATCTTAATTAAGTCACGAAACTGTTTGTTTTGCCGAAAGGAAAACAGTTGTGTAGAGGAAAGAATACACAGGTTCGAACACAGAACACCAATATTACATCACTTTTGTTTTCTTTAACCAGATTTACTTTAAAATCATTTTATTAACATCTAAATCTACACATGGTCTTGCTTTTAAGATGTTTACAAGGTATTATTCTTGTTAGGGGGGGTCTAGATACCATCTCGGGTCAACGATGGCCCCATTTTGGATTATTGCTACGGTGAAATGTCACCGTTGGTGACGGCTTTTGCAGTAGCGGCCCCTAAAGTATGGAATGCTTTGCTGTGCCACGTACGTGTTGAACATGGGATTGTCAAAACCTTGAAGTTCTTTTTTTTAATGTAGGATTTGCAAAAATAATGTGATTTTAATGTAGGCCTTATAGTTCTTATTTGTAGTTTCACCGTGTCGGGTGGTTTGATGTTTTATTACGTGGGTAGGGTAAGAGGCGTCTTTCCCGGGTGAGCTGAGGACATCATCGATGCCAGCGGGGTTAGGCTTAAGTACTTTTTTTTCCTTTTACCCTGTTTGCACATATCTGGACATGTCTTTAAACCCGTCGTCACAAGACGCGTTGAGAACGCAGAAAAACATCCAAAGATAGTGAGGAGAAATTAAACATGCACCGCAAAGACGTGCTTGGAAGAACGCGAAAAAATTGAACAGACCACCTGGATTCTGAAAAAAAAACCCAGTTTTTACGGGGAACTGAGGTCGATCATCAGCTATGACGATGCCAAATTTCTGATCTCAAGCTTTACAAAAGAAGTCTAAATCATTTTTAGTATGCTTTTTAAACACTGGGCTCTGTTGTGACTTTAATTGCACAGGTAAGCGATGTCGATTTCCCCAGACGCAGAAAGCGAACGTGACGTGAAAATGTAAGTCCTGCAAATGAGCTCCAGCTAGAAATGTAGCGATGGATTTTTTGTTTGTTTTTGTTTGTTTGTTGTGGTTTTTGTTTGTTTTGTGGGTTTTGGTTTGTTTTTGGTTTGTTTTTGTTTGTTGGTTTTTTTGGGGGGGTTGTTTTGGGTTTTTTCTCTCTCTCAATATGAACTTTACCCCAAATTAGTTTCCTATACAAAGAGCGAACTCAATTATGAGTAAATTCCAGACTTGTAGCTGGAGTTCTTGTTTATAGGTGTACACGTCCGAGGGGTATTGTTGCAAAAATGTTTGCTGCCGCAACAGCGTGTTTTCAATTTGAGACTCGAAACCGTGCAACGCGTTCACCGTCAACGTCAACGGGCGCTTAAGCCCGATTTCCCCGTGTGCTGGTCTCGATCGCTCCGCTGTTTAATACGTTGAGCGGCGCCGGGGGAGCCCTTCACGGGCGGCAGTCGAGGATCACGTCTGACGCGGGCAACGTTGATGTGCGGCCTTGCTCAGCGGAGACGGGGGTGAGGCCGCAGCGGGGAAACCGGGGTGGTGTAAGTGGCGGGTGATGACAGAAAGATGTTGTCCTCCACGAGGGAAGTGTCCCACAGGGAGTCTGTCTGGAGTGCAAAAGCACTTTTTCAGTCCGCTTGTCATAAATGGTGGTCGCAGACTTCACACACGAGACCGCGCTCCCGAGCGGACCATATTCGACGTCTCCTTGGTAAGGATCGTCGCGCTTATGTAAAATGATCCTGCATCGTGCCTAATTGTCCCTCGCTTGTTCGCCTACCAAATAGCCGTCGTATCTCTTTGGTTACTTGGTTGGTTAAATTGTTTGTTGGTCAGTTGGTCTACCCATCTGTATCCCTGTATCCGGTTGGTTTCTGGGTTCCGCGTGTCAATAGCTACACCACGTTATAGGGCACATCATGAAGTGCCAGCCTGCCTTTTCATTCATTCATTCTTTAGTTTTAACTTTGAACGTTAGGCCTAACTGAAAAAAATTGTTACATTAATTAACACACTTAAAAGAAACATTAAACAAGACTACAGAACAATCGACAAAACCAGATTTCAATCGTAGAGGTGACAGAATTCTACAGATCGTTGGCACAATGTCATGTACATGTTCGCAATAGCCCGCTACATTATTCAGAATTCAAGTAATTGGACCAAAGGTAATGGTTCAATTTGGATTTGCATGTATGCAAGAAAAGTTCCGTTGTATTAACAATATGCCGCGCCCGTGAGTTTTCTGTGAACCCTGCGTGTGCGAACCAGCTGTGTTGGATTTTCTGTCAAACTCTGTCGGCCTAAGAGTTGAGTCTCCACTTGTCTTTAGAGATCAATATTTTTCCTTTGTCGTTTGCCATGCTCTGCGACAGTAATCGATCAGAATTCAGATTTAACACGATTGCCCCCCTCTTTAGAACTGAACGCAGATGTTCCTCAAAATCTTGTTCATATGAGTAACTTTTGAAAAAGTCACAGCCCTTTCTGTCGTTTGGGGCATAATTTATGCACGACATTTCGACTGAGATAGATTTCTACTGTTACGTCTTCAACATCAGCCAGTGAGTCAGGCTCGGCGCTGCGCGTTGTTTACCGTCATTTCAGACATCGTCATCTCTGTGGACTCATGATATTTCTTGTTATGTGAGTCGTCATGTGAGTCGGTGCCTACTTTTTTACAGTGGCGTCTGTCTTTTTTGGTTTCGAGTGAGATGCTTAATGGAAAACTCGCATGATAAGTAGGCCGTGATGCAGCAGGCGAGTAAAGGACCCGTCCAATTTTAAACGCAATCCAGAATGCATGCATAAGAACACTGTGTTGCTTTCATTTTGTGTCGTTCGTGTCTCGTGGGACAAACTGGGCTAACATAATTGCCTTTTTGCTTTTTATTTGGTGGGGCAAACACTTCGGTGAGCGTATGTAAGCCTACTGGACGCCTAAACGGCTCAACTGGTGATCAAAGACGGATATTGGTCTCTCGTGTTAAGCGTCCAATGTAATTCTAGAACAGTAGTCAAAATACTGACGGGTTTTCGGCACGCCTTGAGCCCCTCTGGAATCAAATCACAGTAAGAAAATCACGCCATTATTTTTCAGATGAGGTTCCGATTGACCGACCGCCTTTATCATAAATACATGTACTCGGAGGATTATTTTGACTCCAGTAAACCTTATAAACGCCAGTCAAGCCTGATTGAAGTCATGACAAATTTGCAGGAATTTTCGTGTGCTTTAATATCGGTCCAGCGTCAACACGCAAACCACAATACACGTTACTTTGATAACGCACCAAACAGGTTCACTGAAATTGGCCGTAATTTTGTATACATAACAAGGAGACAAATCGTTTCTTGCGATGTGTTTGCACCGTCGTGTAAGCGGCATGTACGCAGTCTGCGACGTCACCCGGTTGAACCCGTGGAAAACACGGCGCGTAACGCGATGTGGCATACCTAACCGCGCTAACTGATGAAATTTGTTAGCGATGGTTAGCGCAATTGACGAAAGATTACCGGGCCGAAAGGAGGGGGAGATGGAATTGCGCAAATAAATCGCCTTGCAAATTTAATCTATCACATCAAACATAATCGGCCGCATGGATAGCTTATGTTTAGCCACCGGGAGCGGGTGTTATGTACAACGCCAAAGCCAGGCCGGCAGGTGAGGCTGCGTGTTATTTCGCGAACATGTCTGTAAGGCGCGCGCGCAGTCGGAAGAGTTGTGGTGTAACACACCAGTCATGGCTTCACAACGGCAACAGTTCTGTCTAGGATATTTTCTGCGCGAACAACTGATAAGGTTGGATGTCAAAACTCCAAAAATACGACTAGAAGACAAAGTAACGGAGAAGATGAGAGACTACATCACGGTGTTTTGTCTCGCTCGGTAAGTTCAGCTCTAACAAATTTCAAAGAACTTAAACATGTAACACTATAAGCCTGTGAATAGAATTAACTTTGAAGTTCACTTTATGGATTAATATTCGAATGTTCGAGTGATCATTCATACGGTGCGCAGAACAAAATAGATTTGCATCTCCACTTTGCAGTTGACGGGAACAAGTTTATAGACCTACGGCTGCGCAACTTTACTGTTTGTGTTGCGTAAGGAAGTCATATAGGGTCGTCAAGTTTGATTGGATCTGTACAGTAGTGCGGCAGGACCAGTAGCCTATAGACCATGGGCGTCCAGTCGAAAACACTGGTACCCGTGGTGACAGTGAAGATGAAGATGCTGTCCCCTAGTAAAGCATATTTCAAATAAGTAACGCAGTGAGAAATTTTGTAGTAGATCTATCCAGCGTGCAAAGGCCATTTGGGCACGAGGAGACGCTATTCAGTATTCTGGCACGCATGCGTATCACAAGCGGCATGGTATATTGCCGCAATTTAGATTCATTCCTGATCGTTTCTAAGCTTTGGGGGGATAGAACTGGGAAAAGAACCTCCATCCCTCGTTACGCTTGTGCTACAAAAATTAATCTTTTTCCCCGAAACCTTTGCACCAACAGCAGGAGTTTTTTTTACATTATTGATCACGATACTTAATTGCAGTTAGGACCAATTTAAACGTGTCACCAGCAAACTGGGACTTGACGGTGGCGCCCTTTAATAGTATCGACACCTAAGTTGCTGTTCTAAGTAACAACCGTTTTCCAAACATCAACAGTTTGTTCTGTCGCCTTAGTAGACGTGCCGGTTTTTACTTTGGAGATTTGTAAATGAAAATGTACAGCTTGTACTATACGAACCTGTTGCATCAGGCGAGATTCCTCCTCAGTATTTCTCGTTATAGGTATCGATTGTTTCTGTTCCACGCCCCGGGCCCGGCAGACATTGGCGGCCGTTGGGAGAATCGATTAAGTGATCAAGTCCATGAGCGCTGACTTGTCATTGCAACTCGTATCCTGTGCGTGGCACGGTGCGTTGTATCACGGACCTACGGCATAGCCCCTGGGTCTTCCGAATTTGTACGGA